CCATGAACCATATTGCGCCAGGCCTTCCTGTCCTTCACTGCCTCCCTGAGTTTGCTCAGGTTCATGCTCAAGAGAGGATAGACACTTTAATATAACCAAAATCAAAGTAAAATAAAATAAATGTGTAGCAAACTATGAAAAAGTGCATCTGAAATAGCCTTCCACAGCCAGCGCCTTTCAGATGTGTTGTACTACAATATCCCTCTCTGGGCTTCTCAATCTTGTATCTGGGATTGCGGTTGATTCCTTGCGGTTTCTGCACTGGGGGATTTCAACCATGCCCTGGTAGTGTGGCTGGAAATAGCCCAGCAATTCAGGGTCCCCATGGACTTTTCCCATGCCATAACTAGTCCAACTCATAAAGTGGTGGCCATAAACTGGATCTACATTAACCTCATAACATGTTCCTTATCTGAAGATGGAGAACATTTCTGTCAGTCCTTTGTCAAACTCTGATCATTTTCTGGTCATTGAGGCATCAGCACCTCTAATCTCCTCAAGGTGGCAGGACCAGGCACCTTACGAATCTGATAAGTTTGGGGAATTACCCAACAACCTGATGATTCCTCGTTGAATATTGAAATCCTGAGTAGCAAAGTTGCTAGATATGATTGTCCCGGAGTAGCCTCTCCCTGCTCACTGATCCAGAAATGCTCCTCGATTTACTCTGGGAGAGAAATGGCAGAAGAGATGCCCAGGACGATAGTTAAAAAAGCCACTAGTTCCAGTAAAAAAGATGGGGCTGAGATATAAAAGCCCTGGCAGTCCAATATGGAGTCCTTCAGGACTTGATCCTCTGTGCCATCATATTCAACGTCTATACAGAGCCACTGAAAGAGATTATCTGCCAGTCCAGGATGAATTATCAATATGCTGATGAAACTCAGCTGTACATCTAAATCCTGGGCTGAACAGGAGGTGCAATATATGTCCTCATCTGATTTTGGAGTACAATTCAAGGTGATGGTTATCACCTATAACACCCTTTGTGGCTTGGGTTTTGGTTACTTGTGGAACTGTCTGCTCCAGGTAGAATCTGCCCTTCCTGAACAACTGAGCTGGCAAGGTATGCTGCATGTTCCCATCCCTCATGAAGCTAAATGGGTGGGGACAGGAAAAGGTGCCTTTTCTGTTGCTGTCCTGGTTTTATGGAATAGTCTGGTTCCCAAGGCAGAGATGATCCCTAACTTAAAATGATTCTCTTTTGCTGAGCTTCTGGATATTAACCTCTTGGGGGTTATCACTATAATGTTTTATCAGCTCAGTTTATTTATTAATTTTATCCTTTCATTGCAAGTGTAATGGGGATAAGTCATACGGTTTCATGTCATGCACAATAAATAAATGAAAATCTATAGCTTGTTCCTTATTAGCCTTACATATTTGCCTGAAACATCATCCTCTGCATTTGCTTTAGCTAATGCTACTAATTGTCCTTATCTTGTTTTACAGTGTTGTTCAACACTTTACAAACAAGAGCTGGCATGATGTAATGGGTCAGGGTGTTAGACTAGGAACATGGAGACCCAGGTTCTAACATAACAGAAGCTCACTTTGGGACTTTGGAATAGTCCCTCTCTCTCTCAGCCCAAACTTCCCTCACAGGTTTATTGTTGTGGGGAAAAATAAGAGGACTGGGTCCTATGCATGCCACCTTATGCTCCTGAATAAAAGGTAGAATATAGATACAGAAATAAATAAAATCTTTCACTCCTTTTCTAGTCCCTATCAATGCTTAGTCATCCAGAGAAGAAGAATTAAACCCCATCCAGCCCAGGTAGCTAAAGAACAACTACTGCTGGAAAGGGCAAAACAAAATGAAAATCATCAGTTCATTCAGATTCTGCCCATAATTCATCAATATGCATGCTTTCAGTCTAAGTTCGTACAAACATTTACATCTATGCAAAAGGTATCAACACTGAAAACATACAACACTGAAAGGGAATCTGAACCTAGAGTGAGACACAGGAAACACAGAGTTTGATCTAGTGAGTAAAACAATATATTCAAACTAAGCTCCAGATGTGAGACAAGCAAGCAGCATTTATTCTCCTACCTGCGATTTAGCAGTGAGTGCCAAGGAATGATGGCCACCAGCAGACAAATGAATTACTTCCTTACCATCAAGACTTTTTACACACAATGGCTGGAGCCTGCAAACCCACAAAATGAAATCAAGATCCTCAACTTACAGAAGAAAACTGCACAGAGTACATTTCATAGGAATACAATGATCAATTTTAACCAAAATGCAATGCCAATATGGAAGACAAATTGTTTTGTCAAGATGGCCCACACATATTGAACCAGTCATTACACAGAAAACATACACAGACAATTCCAGCTGGGTTATACTTAGTGCTATGTGAGGAAACATAAGCTTGAATGAAGGGATTTCTCTTGGTTTCCTCCCTATTGCACCTCCAGTAAGTCCCACAAATTTGTTCTGATGGCAGATAACATCCCATCACAGATGGACACAGAGGATTATAAGAGAGAATTACTGTTTCCTAGGCAAAGGACAGCTTTCCTCTCTAAACTCTTACCTTGGCAAGACATCACCATGTCCCAGCTGCCCATCTTTTCCTTTCCCCCAGCTCCACACCTCAGTGCGCAGAGATGGAAGAAGTGCATCAGCTTCACCACTGTAGGTAGGTGTCAGGGCAACTGTCCTCATTTTGGTTCGTCCTACTTTCCTCAAAAGCCTTGGAGAAACTTCAATATGGGAAGCAGGAATAAATAATTAGAGCAATTAACTATATCACTTGTTCAACTAAATATATTATTTGCTAATCCTTAAAAGGTAGATTCACACATTCTTTTTAGCAGGTCTAGTTGCTAGGTATTATGCTGAAGAAGTCACCTAGGCAATTTGTTATAAGCATGAGTTATCTTTTCAATATAATCTAATTTGGAATAAAAGAGGAATCTTTCACTATACACTACGTTCATGACGTTAACTAATCCCCCCCTTCTTAAAAATTCTTAAAATCCCTAGCGCTAGCCATATCAGTAGCTCAGAGTATATCAGGTAGTTATTTCCTATAAAACCTGCAATTGCTTTTTTGAAGAACAGAATACTTGTATCATGCAAAGAAGACACCACATTCCTTTCTAAGCAGCTTTCATAAAGAATGAATTTTGCCATTAGTCTGCAGTTTGACCTTAAAGTGGAATCCAGTTAGCCAGTCTAAAAACAAAAGTAGACTTCCAACAAAAAGGACTGGTGGATGTTTTCCATTTATTAGGCATGTATATACAAGGTTTAGGGCTATGAGGTTTGAGCTGCAAAAATATCACTAGATGGCAGCACAGAAAACTAATTCTTCCCTGCTATCTAGTGGTCATCTAGAACAGGGTTCCTCAACCTCAGCAACTTTAAGATGGGTGGACTTCAACTCCCAGACTTCCCCAGCCAGCACCTCAGCAACTTTAAGATGGGTGGACTTCAACTC